AAGCCCTCCTCCTCTTCTTCTTCTTCTTCCTCCTTCAACTCCTCCCCGTCCTCTTCCTTCACTTCCTACTCTTCCTCCTCTGCCTCCTCTGCCTCCTCCTCCTCCTCCTCCTCCTCCTCTTCAATCAACCAACCAATCAATTAATCAATCAATCAATCAATCAATCAATGGAAACAATCGATTTGATTGATCGATTGATTCCATTGATTGATTGATTGATTGATTAAAAAAAACAACCGTTAAAAAATCTCCTCCCTCCCTCTCCTTCTCATCTTCTTCTTCTTCATCGTCCTCCTCCGCCACCTCCTCCCCGGCTTCCTCCTCCTCTTCTTTGTCTTCTTCTTCCTCGTCTTTCGTCGCCCCAACCTCCTTCTCTACTTCGTCTTCCTCTTCCTCCTCCTCTTCTTCGACCACCTCCTTCGCTCAGGCTTTCACGTCGCCGTCCTTGTGCTTTGCTTCCTCCTCCTCCTCCTCCTCCTTCTCCTCCACCTCCCTGTCGTCGACCACCTCCTCGTCCTCCTCCCCCTCCTCGTCCTCTTTATCCTCTTCCTCCGATAACGAAGGCACGGCTGCCACGTCAGCACTCGCGGCGTAGCAGCCGTGCGTTCGTCACAAAAGTACCACATCAGGCAAAAGGGGCTAAAAGCGCACGGACACATATCCATGCTTTCGGACAGATGGCGCGCCGCAGTGGCCAGAAGCTTACAAGGTGGCACCCACCCCATCATGGGCTCGGGCACACTTCTCCTTTGAGCCGAAAGTCGAGTACCACATCGGGCAAAAGGGGCTTCAGACGGAAGCCCTCCTCCTCTTCTTCTTCTTCCTCCTTCAACTCCTCCCCGTCCTCTTCCTTCACTTCCTCCTCTTCCTCCTCTGCCTCCTCCTCCTCCTCCTCCTCCTCGTCCTCCTCTTCAATCAACCAACCAATCAATCAATCAATCAATCAATCAATCAATCAATCAACAGAATCAATCGATGAATCAAATCGATTGATTCAATCAGATCTTGATTTTCAAATTCAGATCCGATTGAATCAATCGATTTGATTGATCGATTGATTCCATTGATTGATTGATTGATTGATTGATTGATTGATTGATTGATTGATTGATTGATTAAAAAAAAAAACCGTTAAAAAGTCTTCTCTCTCCCCCTCCTTCTCATCTTTTTCTTCTTCATCGTCCTCCTTCGCCACCTCCTCCTCGGCTTCCTCCTCCTCCTCTTTTTTGTCTTCTTCTTCCTCGTCTTTCGTTGCCCCAACCTCCTCTACTTCGAGGAGGACGAGGAGGTGGTCGACGACAGGGAGGTGGAGGAGGAGGAGGAGGAGAGGGAGGAAGGCGGGAAGGAGGACTTCGATATGGCGGCGGAGGAGGAAGAAGACCACGAGGAGGTGGTGAGGGTCGATGAGGTGGAGGAGGAGGACGGTGAGGACGAGGAGGAGAAGGAGGAGGAGGAAGAAGAAGAACAAGACGAGAAGTTCAAAGAAAATAAAAAGTTCGAAGGAGGAGGAGGAGAACGAGGAAGAGGAGGAGGAGGAGGTAGACGTGGAGGAGGAGGAAGACGAGGAGGAAGAAGCAGATGACCAGGAGGAGGAGGAGGTGGGGGAGGAGGTCGACCAGGTGGAGGAGGAGGATGAAGACGAGGAGGAGGAAAAGGTGGAGGAGGTCAACGAGGTGGAGGAGGAGGGAGAAGATGAGGAGGACGAGGTGGAGGCCTTGGAGGGGGAGTAGAACGGGGAGGATATGGCGGGTTAGGAGTCAGAGGACGAGGACGAAGAAGAAAAAGAGGAGGAGGAGGAGGAGGAGGAGGAGGAGGAGGAGGAGGAGAAGAAGGAGGGGGGGGAGGAACAGGCGACGTGGTTTCTCACCTGGGCGGCGATGGAGACGACGACAACGATGACGGCGACGGCTCCGCGGGCGGGTGACTGGCGGGGTTGCTGGCGATGCCCGTATGCGCGTTCGAATTCGAACGAGCAGGCCCAGGCTGACCCCTCCCGCCACGCAGATGCTCCCAGCGCCCGCCCAACCCCGCCAACCAATCCCCCAACCCCAACAAGGCCCCCTGGGCGCCCTACCGGGCCCGGTTCGGCCTGACGACGAATGCGTTCGCCGGCCTCCGAAAGCCGTTCGTGCGAACGTGTTCGCGCCGCGATCGGGCGAACGGCCGAACACGTTCGGACGTTCGGAAAAACTCCGAACGTGTTCGCCGTGCTCTGCAGCGCTGAGACGAGGATATACACCGCACGACGGGCAGCGGACCGGGCTGAGAGGGAGATGATGGGGGGAGACGAGGATTGTTGGGGTCCTTTTGGGGAGGTGACTTCCACATGTGATGTGTGTGATGACAGAGTCGGGGGCTCTCATGCAGGCACGAGCCGTGCAGAGGCCGGGATGAGGATTCCTACTCCGACGAGGCGAGAGTCGTCCATTCCACCACCCCCTTCTTCAAGTCCTGCACCACCATCACTTGTCTCGCCACTTCAGCCAACCACTACAGCAGCGGAGACGGGGGAGTTGGCATCCTCCTTGCCTCAGCACAGACTTCTGCAGAGATCTACGGTGGTCCGCCAGCTGAGGTTATGATCACCTTCCCGGGGGTTCTTGAAGGAGAAGGTTGGCCACCGTGCCACTCCCGCGGACAGGGGGGCCTAGCCCGAGCGGAGGAGGAGGTCACAGCAGCGGCAACGGTGGAGGGGGAGGTAGCAGCAGCCGAGGAGGAGGTACCAACAATGGCAGGAGGTGCCAACTGCAGCAGCAGTGGAGGAGGAGATAGCAGCTGCAGTGGAGGGGGAGAAGGAGGTAGCGCCAGCGGCGGTGGTGTCAGACGTTGATATGGAGCATGATAGTACAAACGCTATTGGGGGCGGTGATGACGCCGAGGATCACCTCATGCAACAGTTTATCACGGAAGAGCTCGATCCACTCGTGGGCGGTTTCACCCCGGGTGTGGTAAGGGGGTTGAGGATTTCTCCTTCCACAGGGTGGGCGGGTGCAGTGATGGGGACCCACTTGACTTTGACATGTCGATGGGCAATCCCTCTACTTGTGGCAGGGCGGTATCGACGGATTGGGCGCCATTGAGGGATGAGGCGGCAGGCGAGATGGGGTCGCAGACCCCAAGAGAGAGGACGGTGATGGAGTCTCCAGATACGTCTTGTAACATCATGGAGCGAGAGAGATATCAACTTATGGCATCCAGTGACCCCCGTGCTCAGGCGTTTGCACAGGCCTTGGAGGCGCGCAAGCGTCGAGAGACAGGGAGAGATGGTGGGCAGGGTATGGTGGTGGCGGGGGCGGACGTTATGAAGGGAGTGGCAACAGAGGCGACAAATGAGGCTGTGGAGGGTGGGCCACAGGCGGTGGATGAGGCTGTGGAGGGTGGACAAGGGTGAGACGGGGGGGCTGGCGACTCAGAGCCCGTAGTTCACGAGACAGTGACGGGTCCAGTTGTCCCATTCTCTAACCTGCACTTGGCCGGGGCCTGACGGTCGCAGCCGGTTGAGGTGGCAGTGCATGATGTGCCACATGTTATTATCACGGATTCGGGGTCCGAGCCGATGGTTGTACCTCCACGTCCACGGCTACCGGCTCCACAAGAGGTTCATCGTGCATTGAATGCAGAGGAGTTGGCAGCGGCTGCTGTGCGCGATGTGACTCGATTGGACTGGCGGATATTTAACTCACAGCTCAATCATCCCCAACGGCAGATGATCCGTTCTGTTCCATGGTGTCCTGTGTCGCCCGTGTGGTCCGGGTCTACCTCCAGCGAAGGATATGGCAGGGCAGATGTTCAAGGGGCTTGGGGGGCCTGCAGGAGAGAGCGCCACGTACAGGAGACATGCCACCCCCTCCTCCCAGACCTTGTGTGGGTGATCCATCGTCGTTGCCCACAGGTCGAGGCTCTCGATTCCCACACACGCCCGGAAGATCGTGACAAGAGAGGTTGAGCGGGATGTATGCAACACGACGTTATTCGGGAGGACAAACATAAATTTGGATTCCACCCGTCGTGTCACTGAGCTCACTGCACGCCTTCAACCGGGTTTGGGAACCTGCAGCGCCAGGACGAGTGGAACGAGGGAGGTTGCGGCAGCAGGTTGTGAGCCTCAGCGAGGTCGCGACAGAGGAGTGTCCATTTCGACCTTTGACCACGCTTTGAGAGCAGCGACGCGTGTTGTGCATGAGCAGACTCTACACAAGCGTGGAGTGCCTCGTCCACGTCCTGTGCCTGCAGAGGGAGGTGTTGCACTTGGAGAGTCTTCAAAGGCGGAGGGGTTGGGGATGCCTCATGGATCCCGTTGTCAGGACACGGTCGCACATGCTAGTACGAGGGTTGTTCTGGTGAGGAAGGGAGGCGGCCCTGTCACCATCGAGTAGGATGATCCTGAGACGGCACCGGTGGTGCCGGAGGAGGACGAGGACTATGAGGGTGAGGAGGAGAGTGAGGAGGAGGAAAGTGAGAGTGGCGATAGTGGTGACGGTGACGACAGCGACGATGAGCCCCCGCCTCCCCCACGAACTTGTGCATCGAGATGCTCCGCTGCGTAGACGTCTTCATCCACACGAAGGAAGAGGAGGCCGACATCCGACACTCGAGGCGGTACGAGGAGGCAGAGCGGAAAGGGGAAGAGGGGTCTGTGAACGTGAGCTCAACATTTTGCTTTCCCCTACTTGCACGCGAGTTCATCATATTATGGGCTTCTGTTTTTTTTGTCGTGATGTCTTATCTTAGTATTGTCAGGTAGTCACTGGTAGTGTGCGTACTGTAATTGTTGTTTTTTTTTTGTTTTTTTTTTTTGTATGATTCTGCCATTCTGGTATAAGTAGGGCATCTGAACAGTAGCGTTGGTTGGAGTAGAGTATCTCGGCACCGTCGACACGACTTGTAGAGTATTGTTTTTCTATTATTCACTTTGTGGCACTATTGACGTAGTAGTAGGGATATATTGTATTATATTACATTTTTCATGTGTGATTTCAGTGAATGGTACCTCACGACTTTTCATATCCATTACATTTTCCATGTATGATTTCAGTTACGAGTGCTGCACGTCGTGTGCACGGCGTTTCATGTCCATTTTTTTCGTCGTATAAATTTATATCTTTAATTGGAGTTTACTTTTTTTTTTTTTTTTTTTTTTGGCTTGCAGATTCGGGTGTTTGTTTTTTATTTGTTTCTTTCAAAATTCTTTGTGAATTGTTGAATTAATTTATATTGATTGAAATACTAATTTTAATGTACGGCCGTCACAACCATGTTCACTTGTACCCCTTCTTTGTCAAACATAGGCAATTGTGAAGTTTCACTTGCAAGTGCAACGTGTCATTGTCAGAAACATATACCATCAAAAAGTATTATGTGACTCCCCCAAGCGATTTTTTCAAATTGCTCCGCAAACGATTTGCAGATGTCACTCGGGGGCTGAAGACTTCTAACAAAATGCAAACTATCCACTCTCCTCAGTGGAAGAGTGTCAAGGCGCTCAAGGGTGTCCTGAATGAGTTAGTTGTCGTCCCTGGACATGGGGTGATTGAGAGTCAATTGGTCCAATTATTCTTTCGTGCCATGCCAAAAGCTTTGCACAAACACTTTTTTCAGAAGAGTAGATAACCTACCATGACCTGCACTACATTGAGTAGGGAGGTGGTGACTTTTGAAGCCCAGTCCATGCCAGTGTCCACTTTCTGGCATAAGGACCTAGACAAGGGCAAAAAGTGGAAAGGTTATACCATCTCAGACGAAGTCAGGGCCAAGGATCATATGATCCTTATTTTAGATAAAGGTGGTATGGAAGAGGTCCTCTATAGTCAGATTGAGTGGGGCCTAAAAAAGGAAGACAGTAGCACTAGTAAGGGAAGGACTTATGTTGCTGTCGCGACTGGAGGGAGGCCGCAGGGAAGAGGTAGAGGCCAACGCTAAGGGGGTCGAGCCTCTGGTGGTCAAAGACAAGGCGATCAGGGGGTTGACAACAGAGGAAACTGCAAAGAGGGAGGTAGGGGTCAAGGTCCCTCGCAAAACCGTCCTCGTTTCAACCGATCAGCTCCCAGGAGGGGTGAATGGCACCCTGGCTTGCCGCAAAGCAGACCCTGGGAGGCGTTGGGATTAGATTAGACTATATTGCAGGGAAGAATAAATGCGGACCAATGCATTTACTGCGGTAATCCGTGCACATTATCAAATACCGCCCCAGATATAGAGATGCCCGACGAGCTGCTGCAGAGGCAGCAAAAGACAACCATCAGTAGGGGTCGCAACTGCCCTTACCCCTTAGACCATGTGGAGACGAGTGCGTGCACCATAAAGAAACTCCCAAACCACATGTGTCTATGACAGAGGTTTCTGACCATTGCCTAGGTAGTTGTCCAGACATTCCTTGTGTTAGAGTCTTTCTAGACACTTCCCTCACATGTTTGGCAGAAGAGTTGAAGGAGAGGATGCCAGCCTGGGCCAACATGAAGAAAGATGAAAAAAAACAACTAGTGTTAATATATGTGGAAGTCTTTAGAGGCAGGGTAGCGGCCCCTATAGATAGTGGGGCCACACGCAACTATATTAGCCGCAAAGCACTGCAGATCTGAAGCTAAATTTGAACGTCCAAAAGCTAAAAGAACCCATAGTCAGTATCCTCGCAGACAATAGCACTATGCAAATCGAGGATTACATCGAGGGAGTCCAGACATATTTTCGCCTAGAGAAAGATGGGAAGGTAGAGAGTGTTCTCCATTCCCTGACTGTCCTCGTAGAGGACAATCTCTCATTCGATATGGTCCTAGGAATGGACTGGGGAGATGGAGCCGGAGCGACACTCCACTTGAGAGAGGACGAGTGTACACTCCCTAATCCATCAGGTGAAGTTAAGACTGCTCGCCTGTTTTATATGTCAGGGGTAGACAACCCCTTAGCACATTGCTTCCTAAGTGCTCTTGCATGCGCAAGGTTAGTGAAGAAGGAGTTAGAAGAACAAGTTTTTCTAGCCTATGTTAGGCCGGTTACTGAGCCTAAAGAGGAAGAGTCGGTCGACCATTGCATTGCCAAGCTGCGAAAAGAGTATGCAAATTTGTCTAAGCCGCCTACCGGAGTGGTGTCGTAGCCAATCCAACATCAAATCGAGATAGAGCCTGGCAGTACGACTCTAAGGGAGGTGTCTATAAAATGTCCCCAAGGGAGTTAGCAGAGATGCGCAAGCAGTTAGACGAGCTCCTCGAAAAAGGGTAAATTAAGCCCAATTCGTCTTCGTTTGGAGGACCTGTCCTCTTCGTCCCCAAGAAAGAGAGAGAGTTAAACATGTGCATTCACTATAGGGGTCTTGTTGTCGTCAATGTGAAAAATGCAGAACCGTTGCCCCGTATAGATGACCTGTTGGACCGGGTGTAGGACTGCAAATATTTCACGAAGATAGATCTGAAATCAAATTACCATCAAATAGAAGTTCATCCTGATGACAAGTACAAGATGGCGTTCTGGACTAGATATGGGCTCTATGAGTTCATAGTGATGCCCTTTGGACTAACCAATGCAACCACATTTCAACGTTGTATAAACAATTTGTTTAGACTGTGGTTAGATAGATTTGTGATCGTATATTTAGATGATATTCTAGTGTTTAGCAAGACCTTCTGGGAGAACGAGGCTCATATGAGATAAGTCTTGGAGAAACTGAGAGAAACTAACTTCAAGATCAACGCAAAGAAGTGCGAGTGGGCCAAGAAACTGGTGTTGCACTTAGGCCACGTCTTAGATGAAGATGGCATAAAGCCTGAGGATAAAAATTGCAGCGATTAGAGACTGATCAACTCCTCGCACATTAACAGAGTTGCAGTCATTCTTAGGATTGAGAAATTACTATAGGAAGTTCGTGAGGAACTTCTCTGCCATCGCTGCTCTTCTACGCATATTGCTAA